CCCCAAAACCCCAAAACCCCAAAACCCCTTTAGAGGTAACCAAGATTGAAAATACTCAAAATGATACCACAAAAGATGGTATTACACCCACTTAGAGGCAACAGCGGTTCTATTAAAGTCGAACCCTGTGTCGATATACTTATTGTCAAGTTCTTCACACACTATTGTGTGCATTTTCTCAAAACCTACATGAGATTAGTACCTTTCTGAGGAAGGAAAATGGCAACTTGGCCACTGCCTGGCCTTGTGAAAGACCATCTGACCAGGCTTGAGTCAGAATTGGTCCTTTAAGCTTACCTTTCTGAAAGTTCTCTATATTATGTGGTAAATTTAAGCTCAAAATTTGATTAAAATGCGACCAGAATCTTACTCAAAGGTGTGATGTTGATCATATTAGTACTAGAAACATTCGCCTTCGTGATGATCGAATTCAGAGTATGCAGTTGTCGATTAGGTGTCAGATTAGAAGTCTGATGTAAGCTTTTCAAAGACTGAACTGGCTCTTTCAATCCTAGATTATCGATGTTAGATCTGCTAAGAAAATTCATGAATATTTTGATGTTTCTTACCAAAAGGAGAGAGATTCCAGCCCCCTCTCAGCTTACTTCTAGCCCTCCTCTTCAAATCACTCTGAGTGCTCTGGAGGTTGGAAATTGACATCACTGAGTGAGTGCTAAATGGAGAGATCTCTTGTGAATGTTTCCTACAATTCTTTGGCTTGACTTTCAACCTGCTTTGGGTGCGATTGAGTATCAAATTTTTAGTCAATATTTGTCCACCATTCCTAGTTTTCTCAGCCTTAATTTTCTCAGAACCACAATATGTTAAGTTAAAATTATTAGGCTTTTTAAAGCCGGTTCTCTCCTTCAACTCGCTATGAGACTTCTTTCTCCCACCGCCTGAAAAATAGTTAGGAGTGAGGGATTTCTTCTCTAAACTTTGAGGCAAGAGACTTTACCACCAAAATCAAGGCCATTTTTCTTCTTAGATTCCATCACTGGCGAGTTAATCTCAGTGATCTTAGGAGTGTACTCACAAAACGGTAACACTTCTTTCTGAGCGATATCATACTTCCTCCAGATGTTCTGGATAGTCTGGTTAGGGTTCATCGCCCATGACGAAATCGATGGGTCACACAAAGTCTCAGGAATATTTGGGTTCCGCACAATCGGGCTATTTCGCCTGTGCTTCAGCTTCCCTGACGATGCCATTCCGTGTATGAACCTCTGATGAAAACCTCTTTATCTTTTGCTGAGAGATGAAACTGGGGAGACTTACAATAAAAGAGTTGTACTTATGTGAATCTGCTTCATACATCAGCTCCTTCTTTGTCTTTTTGTTCCGAATCCTCTTCAAAATGCATCTAGAACATTACCAAGGTGCTTACAGGTTAGAGTACTCTTTATCAGCCAGACTTTCGATCTTCTGATGCCTGTTTTTGAAACTTATCTGCGTCCTAGAGTCAGGAGTAAAGTTATGAGGTCAACAAATAATTTCCTAGTATCAAGTACATCAAAATAGGGAATAACTTACAAATCAATGTTGATTTTGGAAGGTTTTTCACTATCCAGACTAGCTTCATTTCCTGTTTGCCTACAAGAGGTTAGGATGGAGGTTAAATGTACTGTCTATATTTCCGAGTAAACTTCTCTGCTGTCCTCTGCAAGGGAGTCTTAATCTGAGTAGTCTGTTTCCTGAAATTCATCATTGTCCTGATCCTCTCCATTCTTTGAGGACTGTTTGTTCCCTCTACAATTAGGATGTCATCAGATTGAGATTTTTCCTTCAATTTTCCGGCTTTTTCTAAGATCCTATCACGAATTTTATTTCATTATCTATAAGGAATAAGGTCCAGAAGTGTACAGCCGCATATATAGCTTTCTTTTCTTGCTTCCTTGCCTCATCCTGAGTGATATGGCCAATGCTAAACAGTAAAGGTGCTTCACCGCCTAAATCTGGTTTGAAAATACCCTTCAAAATGCTTACTCTTCAACTTGCTTTTAGGCTTCTTAAATTTCCGTTTCCTAAGTTTTTTCTCTAAAATTGAAAACTAAGACATCGAGTTTACTAGCTTTTGCTTTCTTTTGAACTCTGAAATCTAAAAATAATCTGAATGCCAAATACCAAGATCGTGCATCAAAGTGGAGGCTTTATCTAGGTTATCCTTATAAGCACCTGTATTCTTAGTAACACTCTTGACGGCAGGAAGAGCCTTCATGAAAATCTAATTGAAATTATTTATTACTTTCCTCATGAAATTTAGGGGTTTTGGGGTTTTGGGGTTTTGGGGTTTTGGGG